CTTTTGCTTCCCCCAGCTCAAAACCACATCCCCACTATTTCCAGGGAAACAAATGCCACCCTCAGGTCACCCCCAGCACCAAAAGGCACCACCTCCACTTCCTGGTAAAAAGATTTATTAAGAACCAGCAGAACCTGCCCAAAAGGAGGATGCCGCCCTAGCACGGACGCTACGCAGCGGCGAGGAGCTGGGTGGGAGGGTTAGTGCTTCTCCAGGCGAAACAAACCCATGTCAGACCCAGCAGCAGGATGAAACAGAGGGAGTTGAGGGCACAGAAAGGTAGTGGGAGCATGTCTGCGTGGCAGAGGACATCCCACTGGGGCAGCCCGGCAGTAGTTAAGGCGTATAAAGTGCTTGGAGGAAGAGCAGCCCTATGGAGGGGCTAAATAATGCAAGTGGGCAGGGACAGCAAGGGAGCGAGGGATGCGGGTGGCTGGTGGGTCACCTGTACCTCTGCCCTGTGGGGACCTGGCATAGGTGGTGATGTCAGACACGTGCCCTGCCCGGAGCTGCAGGCAGGAAGGATGCTGCCTGCCCACCCCTCGGCCCCCAGCCACAACCAGGAGAGGGGCTGCAAGGCCTCCAAATAGGCCCCAGGAGGCTGGTGTTCAATGGTCATCTCCCAGTCCACCCCACGTCCAGGATGCTGCTTCACATTGCGGGGGTGCCTCTGCTGGTGCCCCACAGGGATGGTCCCAGTGCAGCATCCTGCCTCGGCTCAGTCCCAGTGACAAAATGAGATGAGTGGGACTTGTCCTCAGCCAGGCTGTGCCCCAGCTGCCCGTCACAGCCATGTCCCCCGCCGGACCGAGCGCAGCCGGCAGCCAGCCACCTGTCCTGTTACTGGGAGCAGCACCAGCCACTTGGTCCCTTGAGAGCGGGAACATCCATCTGGGGCTCGGGTGCTTTCAGTCCTCTTGTGCTTGTGATGTTCGTTGCAGGAGGGGCATGGGGAGGTGCCCTCACAGGTGCCTTGTGTCACCCAGCTACACAGGACAGGGATGCACCAAAGGGGGGGGGACGACACAGATCTCCTATGGCCACTTTGGGGACAATTCTGCAAAACAGCCCCATGCTGTGGTGGTGGGGACAAGCGGGGGCACCCCGCACACCTAATCCTGCACCCTTCCACCCTGCCCTAGCACTCCCAAGCACTCCCTCCTCCCCATGGGCTGCTCCAAGAAATATTGCTTTTCCCTGGAATGTTTTTGTCTAAAATTGCCCTGATGGCATTAAGAAAAATGAAAGAGAAACCGAGTAAAAAATAACTACCCCCAGGTCACGCTGAAAGGCTGGAGTTAGGCTCCAAGGCCACCCTGTCTGGGGCAGGTGACACTCTGGTGATGGGGTTGGGGACAGCAGGACAGCCAGAGGGGCTTTTCTGTGTGTAGCAGGGGAGGGGGGCACCAAGCAGGGGTACGAGAGCTGCCGCCTCCCGGCAGTGGGAGGGATGCACCTCGCAGGGACGGGTTGGGATGGGACGGGGTACAACTGGATAGGATGGGACAGGGGACCATCCTGGTGGTGGGGAGAGGAGGAACAGTCCCCTGCTCCTCACTGGGACTGCAGGGAGAAGGCCAGCTTGACGCAGGCAAGCTCGTCCCCGCCATTGCTGACAACGGCCTTTACGCGGTAGTTGCCGTTGGTCATCCAGGCAGGCAGCTCCACGTCAGGCAGGATGAAGTCACTGGCTGGCAGGGAGTAGGTGCCCTGCGGAGAGAGTGGCCACGCAGGCAAGAAGTTAGGCAAATCCCTCCCCAGCCCCGCACCGAAGGGCACGGTGGTACCCGGCGGCACTGCCGGCATCACACCAGCCGGGGGTTTCAAGCGTACCGCTTTGAAGGGGCAGTGGCAGGGGATGCCATAGGTGAGCAGGGGCTCTGGGCAGGGCGTGCCGGGCGGGATGATGTTGTCAAGGATGGTGCAGACGTCGTCATAGGTGCAGCTGCCCATCTGGTCGATGCAAGGCAGCTGGATCCAGAGATCACCCAGTGCCTTCTCCACCACCAGCACCGTCTGGAGGGAAGGTGTTTGGCACCAGTATAGCCAGCATGGGCACCCACAGCTCCTACAGCCTGTCCCATCCACCCCCTCTCAGCCATCTCCCTTGGCTGATGCTCGTGCAGTTTTTTGGGGTGTCCATGGGGCCACCAGACACCTTCCTGCCTCCCCTTCCTTCTTTCGGTTCCTCTGCCTGCAGGTTTCTCTTCCTCCAACCTCAGCTTGCCCCCTTGACCAAACACCTCCCAGCAACCCAGGCACCCAGCTCCTTCCCCCCCGCCTCGGTGCCCTGTCCCAAAACTGCCTGGCAGCTCCCATCGCACAGCTCTGCCTCCACGCTCCCCGCAGCCCCAGCCCCAAACAGGCACCGTGGCATTGCTCAGGACAGCCCATGCACCTTGAGCTTGTTCCATCTCATTCCAAAAAGACATATTCTGTCTCATTCCAAAAAGTCCCAAAAAAAGTGGTGCAGGGCAGGCGGGCAAGCCCAAGGCTCCTGCAGCGGTGTCGTGGCATGTCCCTGGAGGGAGCAGCCGGATCTGACCGCTGAAAAAACAAGTGCTGCGGTGATTGCCGGGAGCACAGAGGGCACTTGGGGTTTCATTTCCCTCCCTGACATCCCCAGGACATGACACAGCTCAGGTGGTTTCTCCCACAGGGACAAGGCTGGGAACTTCCCACTGAGCTGTCGGCCCCCACCACGAGTCTCCCCGTGCCAACTGCCCCATTCCGGCTTACAGAGCTCGATGCACTCACCCTGCACCACTCCGTGCCCCGTTCCCCCAAGGGCTGCTCATTCCGGTACCCACTGCTGGGCATTTGCCAGCTGCCGGTGGTTTCGGGAAGCTCTGCCCTCCCTCATCCCTCAGAGGCACCTCCGGCACGTACCTTCAGAGGGCTGGCCATGGTCTTCTTGCTGCTGACGGCCGCGCTGACACGCAGGCTCCCTGGGATGCTGATGGGGTCGGGTGCCACGGAGAGGCTCTGCAGCACCACGGGGTCCTTCTTGTCACCGCAGTTCTCCCAGGCAAAGCCACCAACCTGCAGCACCAAGGGACGGCAGGAGTTAGAGCCAGGGTGAGCCCGGGTTTGCAGGAGGTTTCCCCAGTGCTGGATCCCTGATGCCCCCCAAACATCTGCTCACAAACACAGCCAGAAAATGACCTTCAGCCGCCCTCCAAAAGCCAAATAAATATTTCCTTCTGCATTTCTCAAACTCCCAGCTCTCCAAGCCTGAGGGCATTGCAGAAACTCTCCATCTGACCCCCCTGCGTGTACTTTACACCCAAAGAGTGTTCCCAGGCTGCAATTTCCAAACTTGCCTCAGCTCAGCTTCCAAACACTTTGCATGCAAACAAGGCAAGAAGCATCCTTCACACCAGCGCCCACGGCACGGAGCAGGGTGTGGGAGAGCGAAGGTGAGAGAGAGCAAGCGGGGATCAGGGCAGGGCGGTGGTGGCTGTGCTGGCTGGGGGGATGCTGTGCCCCGGGGGGGCTGTGGGGCCAGCACAGCCTCCTGGCTCAGCCAGGACCAGCCTGGCTGTTGTGAGCCCTCATCCACCAGCTCCAGCCACCTGGTCCCACACGGGAGTGGGAATCACTCACATGGTGCCTTTTAAACGTGGCTTAACATTTCCATCTCTAGTCATGCTCGGGGGGGGGGGTAGATGAGCCAGGCTCATGCCCTGCCTGATATACCCCAGGGGCCTCATCCTGAGCTGGTTCAGACCAAATGAGCCAGGGAAGTGGCGCTGTCCCGTGGGATAATGAAAATCCACACACAAGGGATGTCACCCAGATTGGGGGACATTGCTTTTGTGTCCTGGCTGGGCTGGGAGCCACGCTGGGAGATTTCCCCCGTTCCCTCTGAGTCCCACCAACCTCCCCAGCCACGGCTGGCAAAGCCCCGGGCTGGCAACAGCACCAGAGCTCTTTGCTCCCACAACCCGAGTTCAAAGGCGAGGGGATGGCGGCACTGGCCTGCAACAGCCGCCCCTGGACCTGCCGCAAGCCAACAGCGAGAGCCCAACCCCAGCTCCCTTGCCAAGCAGGCTCCAGCCTAATTGCAGGTTTTTTCCTGGCAGGGAGGGCTGTGCACCCCAAGCAGGTTTGGCCGGGGAAGGCCGTCGGCCCATGCCACAGGTGTGGG